AAAAAAAAAAAAATCCTCACACACAAAATTTTTTAAACTGTTAATATCAGGGAAAGATTTCAAAGCAAAGAACATTACTAAGAATAAGAAAGGCAACTTAATAATAAGAGGGTCAACTTAATGTGAATTATGTAACAGTACTAAACATTTATGAGCCAAATAACAGAACTTCAAAATCACATAAAACAAAAATGAAACAAACTAAAGATCTCTCATGGACAGAAAGCAAGCAAAATTCACAAGAATATTTTAAAAAGTCACAAGTTACATTCTGTTTAACAGGTGCATGAGGAACACTTACTTAATGGAATTTATGGACCATTAAAAAATAACTAAAAGCAATAAAATCAGACAGATGTTTCCTAACTACAAGAAATTAAAATTTTTTAAAACGGGAAAAAATGACCTTTGGAAATTTCCAAGTATTTGGACACTAAATAACACATATTAAAATAACTCATGAGTTAAAAAACAAAACCTAAGGGAAATTATGAAGTGTTTTGAATTGAATAAAAACAAAGCCAAACTATATCAGGACCTGTGGGGATGCAGAACATTAATGCTGCATAGAAAAGTTCTCAAATCAAGGATTCTAATTCATACTTTAAGGGGAGAAAATAAAAAATAACAAAGCACCTAAATCTGTAATATACAAAATTACAGAGAGTAAATGAGAGCAATTTGATTTGAGAAAAATAACTTGACAAATATCCTAATTAAACTGATCCAAATACATAGGAAAACAAGTTTAGAAATGATAGGACATCACTACAGACCTTGCATGTTTAAAGGAAACATGAACAACTTCACATAAATAAGTTAATCAACTCAAAAAGCTTAAAATGAAGCCAGGTGTGGTGGTGCATGCCTTTAATCCCAGCACTTAGGGAGGCAGAGGCAGGTGGATTGCTATGAGTTCAAGGCCAGCCTCGTCTACAAAGGGAGTCCAGGACAGCCAAGGCTACAAAGAAACCCTGCCTTGAAAAAACAAAATTAAAACTTAAAGACGGCTCAGTTGATAACAGCACTGGTCGACCTAAATGCAACCTACACACACACACACACACACACACACACACACACACACACACACACA